CCCTGGGTTGGATCTGTATTGCTACCCATATCGTACAGGAGGCTTGGGTTATTGACATCTGCGTTATTATATATATTCATATATACATGTATATGTGTATATATGGTTACATAAAGAGCAGTCCAAATTTAGGATAGTTATAAATTTTATCTGACACATTGTAGTTCTTCTAGAAAGTCCTGAGCCAACCTCTCTGCCTGACATTAGCTACAGGCTCTGTTTGTGGCCATCACAAACCAGATAGATAGGATCCAAAGTGGTGGCTAGGTTAACCTTCCTGACTAGACTCGGAGGCACAGTTTAGTATACACTAGGGAATAGAGCAGCATCGCAGTCCCCCTACTTTCTCTTGCTGATGTTGGCCCTGGCACGATTCAGGCTGGCATCCATTTGGTGTGGACAGTCTGTAGTTTTGGACTTGAGAACAAGGATGAACCTGGGCTTGGGGTACAAACAGATTTATCTGAAGCGAGATTTTATTCCATTCTAATCCGTACCAAGGACATGCTAAATGCACGTGAAGTGTCCATGAGCTACTTTACCCTGTGGCACTTTGATGGTCGCTGAGTACACAGTGACAGTAACAGAAGCCCAGAGTAAAAAGCTGAAGTAGATTGATTTAGACTCAAAATAAAGAGCATGTTGTCAGTTGTCATGCCATTTGCCATTTGAAATGACGACTAAGGCTTGTGTTGCAGCCTTCATCTCTGAAAACTCTGAAGCTGAGCATGTATTCTTTGTAAAAGGTATGCTCTAGTTCAATCAGAAGAGAAAGCTAGTGCCTGTATTATTCAGAAGGTCAGTCGAGATCATCAGAATGGTGTCTATTTCCAATGCTAAATACTTAAACTTTCCAAAATTTCCAATATTAAAATGATTATGTGACACCATTGATGCTGCTTGCCTTTTGGAAAGATAAGGTTTTAATAATGATTCTTCATTTTTAAAAAAATTAGAAAGGATTCAAGTAGTGTTTTCTCCAGGAAAAAAGCTGAAGGCCAATTGTAGTTTGTTCACACTGAGGTTTGGAGCTAAACTGAGTGGATCATCTGTACTCCAATAGCTACGGATTTGCATACTGTAGAGTTTGGGGTCTTATTTTTATGGAAGGAGATGGTAAGATCTACATGGGCTTTCCTGTGTGTCCCTAGCAGTGAGTGGAGCTTTTTTCTTGTTAAGAAGGGAAAAGAAGGAACTCTTTCTATGCGTCTTTAGTGTGACACATTTCTCTAACAACAACCAATACATAGCTTCATTTTAAGCCGTAGGGGCCAAGGAGTTTCCCTTCAGTAACTGTGGATAGAATTAATTTCTGGGTCAATCTGTTTTTGTCCTTGCAACGTCCTACCTGAGAGCAGGGAAGTTACAGCAATTTCCTTTCCCTCTGTTTTGCTCAACTTCTGGGACAGATGGATGGCGGGGAAAAAAAAAAAGCAGGATCTGGGAGCTGCAATAAAACAGAGAAGCTGGGAGGCATAACAGCTGGGACTGTGGGGCCACTGTGGTCGCTAGGCAGAGGTTGATGTCCCTATATAGACTTATTCAGGCCATTTCAAGAATTCCTTTTCCCATGAAACTGAGTAGTCAAATGACATATGTGAACCTGCTGCCATAGATGGTAATGGATTTGTTAGAGTAATTCTAAATTCTTTGTCAATCTACTTGTGTGTGTCTACTCTGAACAAGACCCTTGGAAATGACTTGTACAATGATTTGTTACGCTGTCATTACTCATTAATCTGAGCTTCTGCAAATGATTTTTATTCTTCTGAAGTAAAAATAAAACCCTCATTAAAGAATTTATTTGTTTTAAAAGCTACACAAAGGATTACAGGGCCTTTGCAAACAGATGTAAGAAAAAATGTGGTTATGCAAAATGTTCCCTCTCATAAGCCCTTACTCTCCATTGACTTCCATGAGCTTTGAAATGAGCCCTAAGTGCATGGCTTAGTTCACTACAAAGCTTGGAGTCAGTAATTAGAATCACATGTATTCGAGGCCACTGAAATCTGACTGTAGGTGAGAGTGCCAATTTATACTGGAAATGCGTATTAATACTATGCAAAAAATAAAAAGGAAACAACTATTATCTGATCTCCAGATAACCATAGCTATGAGGGTTTCTAGAAATATTTCTTAAACTGTTACTTGAATTTGCCTCATTTCTGGTAAACAGCTTGTGGTGGCAAACTAAATGGGACAAGGAATTCTTACTCTGGAAAAAGAACGTCCACACATGGTGTTAATCAGGGTGACTTCATGTGTGGACAAGCTATTATGTGTGACTTTACACTGATTTAGTCAAACTAGTGCACTTCTTTCTATTCACCTTCAATCAATTAGGAGTGGGTTTAAAGTAAAGTGAAATAAGCCACTATTGAACAGAATCCAAGGTTTCTAGAGAGGGGATTGCAGCAGGTCGGTTAAGCTAGTATAAACTGTAGACAAGGTGTGATCTTTGTTAGTTGCCTCCTGAAGCTGTCTGGTAGGTGAAAAACTGCAGCTTGGAGGTTTTGGTGAAACTCTGCAAGGTCTTACTATAACCGACGTAAGATCCTTGAAACTGAGTTAGGCCGTTTAAAGAAGAGACAGAGACATGTGTGTGTGTGTATGTGCAAGGAAGCAAAAAAGACCTCTAAGTAAAATTAACCCTCCACCCTTCCTCCCCTTTCCCAACTGGCCTTCCCCCTATCAAAAAAAAAAAAGAAGAAAGAAAACAGAAAAAAATATCAAAAAGGAAACAGCAGTGGAAAAAAGATGACTTTGGTAGAACACGATAATGGTATTAAGGGTGTGGATAGGGGTCAGTTCTTTGATGTCTCTTCCTACAGTAGAATTAGAAGTCCTGATGGAGAACTAAGGTAGATGGAGCCAGGTTCAATGGGAACAAAAGGAAATGGCCCTTCACACAGTCACTGTTAGATCCATGAAACCTGTTGCCGTATTGTAGATAATAAGGGTTTACAAGATCTCGTGTGGAGACTGGATAAATACCTGAAATAGAAGTTCACTGCGGGCTACTAAATACGTAGAAACCACATCCCCCTGAGGAAATGACCCAAACTGAAAGTAGCTGGAGGTTGGGAGATATTTGGAAGAGTTATCATATATGCTGTCCTTGTTCTCATTGTTTCTTTGGAGACCACTTAGGATCCACTGAAGACAGGATATTGGGCTAGATGGACCCTTGGTGTAGTGCCATGACCAGTTTTCAGTTCTTATGTTTAAAAATGGAAAAGAGCAAGTAACCAAATGGAGAAAGAACATGCAGTGTCTTAAATACTTTGTCCAGTTGGACATTTTGAGGAGAGATATTCAAAAGTTGAGTTACTGAGTAGTTACAAGATGAATAGTCCAATCAGAGTCCATGTGGCTCAACTGTCCAGTAAATACCAACTAACTTCCAGCTGTTTATCTGAGTAAAACTGAGGGCAAAGTATAGAGGGGTCGATTCCCTCCTCGTTTGTTTCCCCATGCATTTGCCTGCAAATATTATCACTCATGTTATCTTAAAGATCTTGGCAACAACATAGCCAACTGGGTGCTTTCAACTCTAGATCTTCCTTTGAGCACTATCAGTGTTTGTATTCCTGTTTAAATAAGATAAGGAAGTTAAAGAAAGAAAGGAAAAAAACAAAAAGAAATGGGAGGTGAGGGGGTGGGTAGAGCAGAGCTGACCGTCTGATTTGGGTTGCAGTTTTCATCCTGCTTTTTAAGGGTAGAGGGAAGAAAGAAGGGAAATTTTCTTGCAGTGCATGTCATTGAAAGTTTGCAAAATATCCTTCCTTTTCAAAATCCTTTTTATTGGCAAAAGTTGTGACTGGAGTAAAATCCGTGGAAAGATCAGGAACAGGGCTTGAAAATCTCCCCTCCAGAGGTTAAACCTTTCCTTCTCTGCTAGGTGGTTTCTTTTGTTTTGTTTTGCTCCGCTTTCCTTTTGTTTGTGGCTTTCTCCTTCTTGGCATCGAGAGAATTTGCTACATTTCTCTTTCATAGAATCAGTCAGGCCCTCCCTAGGTTCATGCTGAGTATCTGTAAAGTTTTCCGAGCTGAAGGGAGTCACTTTTACGGCGTGTGTGGGGGTGGCGGGGAGAGAGTAGGGGTACCAGAAGCAACAGGGTCTCTGCCTCCAAGCTGCGGTGGCGGCTCTGTTCTGCTAAGCACTTGCAGGCTGTATAATTAACCGGGTAGGCAGTGAATTAAATCTTTGTAAAGCCCACTGAGTGGGGGGTTCCTGCAAGCTCTTTTCCAACCGGTCTCAGGCGGCTGGGATAACATCAGAAACAACAGCAGCAGCAGCAGAAGCAAGCAAGCAAGCAAGCAAGCAAGCAACAAGGCGGGGGGAGCGCCCCGGACGCTGCAGGAGAGCCAAGCCCCCCGCTCGGTGGGGAGCTGCGGGCGGCCGATGGACAACCTCGGCGGGGCCCGGCCGCTGCGGCT